TTATGATCCAAATACTAGGTAGTATCCAAAATCCTTTCTACTCAAATTTTGTCTAAAATGTGTTCTCACTCCAGAATACTTCCAAACTTCTACAACACACCCTATTACATCAACTAACATTTTATCTCTACTTTTACAATCCACATAGTTCATGCATACATAATTACATATGTTAGTATTTTAAAAACATAATTACATTGCTATATAAAGATAAGAATGTGGGGTTTTACAAGACATATGTGGCTAAGCATCCTCAAGCCCACTTATTCTAAACTAATAATAAAAATATTTTAAACAAATTGAAGTCCTTAACAACAACAGGCCCTATCTAACATGGTCTCCTTCTTTCAAGCCCCTCCTAAGTATTGGGCTCTTGCTATCTTCATCCCAAGTGGATTGCATCAATCCTTGCATTGCTTCCTTGATCTTCTTGGCTCTTGATCTTGTAATTGGCCCATCTGGACATGCAAAAGATCTTTAAGAGTAGGATCACCTTGGTTCTCATCATTCCCCCTTTCCTCAAAAAGATTCGTCCTCGAATTTTCACCTTGCAAATTTCTAATCGTTGCTTCTTGCTGATCAATCCTATGCCTCACTTCCCCTAACACCAAGTTCAACCGCTCGAATTGTTTTTGCATGCCCTGCAACATAAAGAATGGGTTATTGATCATCCCCCTTGGTGATGAGCCACTTCGGTGAGACATTGTAATGTGCTGCACAAAAAGAATGTTAGTGGTAAAAAAAACCTCACACACTCCTTTACGTGTTTCACTCTTAATTGACTTTTTCCCAATAATTGTCTCACACTCTCTTGCCTTTTACCTCAAGAGTTTTCCCACTCAAGTTCTATAAGCACTAATTGAAATCATTCAAGACAATGCAACCTTGTTTAATCCCAAATAGTAATTAGGCCCATGAAACAAGAAAACAAGAATAAGAACAAGAACAAGAAACACGAAAAGTAAAGGAACAAGAGAAACACAAAAGGAATAAAAAAGACACGAGAAGCAAGAAAATTATGTGAATGATAGAGTAATTATAAGACAAGATACCAACTATAATGATGTATGCAGCCCTTTTGAAGATAAGGCTAAAAAAAAACATTATTTTCGGATTTTCTCCTCTGTTGGTGTTTTTTGTTTTTCTTATTTTTGGATGAATTTTTTTTTACCAACTGAGTTGATCACAAACTAAATAATAAAAAATTGACAAAACCCTAACAATAATTCAAACCCTAGAACAATGAAATTTTTGGTAGCCCACAAAACTCTAAGAATTTCGGAAGCCCTTTCTTTCTTTCAATTTTTTTTTGTAACCCTAGAACAATGAAGCCTTAGAATCAAATATGCAATAAATAACAGAATAGAATACGACCTGATTGGAAACCTCTAATACCAAATGATGTGAACCCCAATCGACTTGCTTTGAGACCCAACAACAATATTGGAAAAACAACCCAAGAAAGCCAAACTCAGGTCTATAGATGGAGAATCTGAACCCGTTGAGAACTTGTTTCAAGAACCTAGATTATATTAAAATCTAGACCCGCTGAAGATCCCGTCTGAAGAAACAAATTACAAGGAGGAACACCACAAAGGTTGTCATTTACCTTTGATAAGTTCAAAAGTTTAATCAAGAACAAGAGGAGTAAACTCAACTCACAATTAAAATTCAATATTTTCTAACCCATTGAAGTGGATGGTTACATCCTTTAAATACCCAAAACATGATAAAACCCTAGACTAAAGTTTGTGAACATTTCTCTCAAAAATGCCCTTGAGTGAATAGTGTCGTGGTACTGTAGCATGAATAGTGTCGTGCTACAGTAACTTCTAAAACCCTAGTTCAAATAAAATAATAACTTTCCTAATAAGCCCTTGGCTAAAATACAAGATCTTCCCAAAAATCTTAATTCATAAGAAACAAGACATATGTGGCTAAGCATCCTCAAGCCCACGTATTCTAAACTAATAATAAAAATATTTTAAACAAATAGAAGGCCTTAACAACAACAGGCCCTATCTAACATGTTCTCCTTCTTTCAAGCTCATCTTGAGTGTTGGGCTGTTGTTAGCTTCATCCCAAGTGGATTGCACCAATCCTTGCATTACTTCCTTGATCTTCTTGGTTCTTGATCTTGTAATTAGTCCATCTGGACATGCAAAGGATCTTTAAGAGTAGGCTCACCTTGGTTCTCATCAAATGATGTGAACCCCAATCGACTTGCTTTGAGACCCAACAACAATATTGGAAAAACAACCCAGGAAAGCCAAACTCAGGTCTATGGATGGAGAATCTAAACCCGTTGAGAACTTGTTTCAAGAGCCTAAATTATATTAAAATCTAGACTCGTTGAAGAACCCAAGAACCCAGATTACAAGGAGGAACGCCACAAAGGTTGTGATTTACCTTTGATAAGTTCAAAAGTTCAATCAAGAACAAGAGGAGTAAACACAACTCACAATTAAAATTCAATATTGTCTACAATATTGCCTCCCTTTTTCTTTGATTGAATACCAATTTATAGGTTGGTCATTACAAGAAAAATTCCTAAAAATCCTAATCTACTTAGAAAATAAATCGTAATCTACTAAGGAAACAAATCCTAATCTGCTAAGGAAACAAATCCTAATAAGAGTTTAAATAAATTAATAAGACATATGTGGCTAAGCATCCTCTAGCCCATTTATTCTAAACTAATAATAAAAATCTTTTAAACAAATTGAAGGCCTTAAGAACAACAGGCCCTATCTAACATGTTCTCCTTCTTTCAAGCCCATCTTGAGTGTTGGGCTCTTGCTAGCCTCATCCCAAGTGGATTGCACCAATCATTGCATTGCTTACTTGATCTTCTTGGTTCTTGATCTTGTAATTGGCTCATTTGGACATGCAAATGATCTTTAAGAGTAGGCTCACCTTGGTTCTCATCATTACCAGAATGGAGGAATGACTTTTTTAGCACTTACAGGGGACCAAGAATCAAGGAAACATGGAAGGCCAATTACTAATAGCACACATACTCTAGCACATATGACGAGCAAGGAATCATTGGATCTTGCATCACAAGACCCCAACATAGCGAATAGTTCTCCAGCAGGCCTTTGAAGCTCTTGTTGAACAACAAAAATCCCCAAATAATCAACAATAAAAGCAATCACAAAGAATGGACCCTCATATATGGAAAACGCCCCCCAATGGATAGATCAAGATTAATTACGATGGATATTTCCATGTCAAAACAAAGTGAGGAGCTTTGGGTGTAGTGGAACGCAACCACATAGGGTGTTTGCTTACAGGAGCATATGGACCCTTAAAGCAATCTCCCCTCTAATTGTTGAGGCTTTTGTTTTTCGAAGGGGATACAAATTGGCCCTAGAAGTAGGCTACCATCAAGTAATCGTGGAGTCTGACTCAAAGACTCTGATGGATGCACTACAAAAGCTTCATTCTGTTTCAATCCTAGAAGTTGAACTGATTTAGAAGGATATTTGGTTCTATGCAGATCAGATCCCAAGCTTAATCTTTCAAGCAATGAGAATAACAAGAAATCAATTAGCGAATTTTGTGACAAAGCAGATGAATAGAGGCTCATCTCACCCTTGTGTGTAATGCTTCCATCTTCTTAGATCCAAGAGATGGTGAATAAATAGGCGAGGGAAGGAATGGGTTATGTGAATTTATCTAGCCTTTTTCACCTTATGAGGCAATGTCTTTTCAATTTTTCCCTTTACAGTTACAGTTGATTTATGGAAAATTTGGAAGCCGGTATAAAAATTTGGACTTAATTGAGCTAAACTACATTAAGGAAACTTATATGACCTCAGTCCATTTTTTTGAAAAATGACTAAAAGGTCATTTATTACTCTATTACTCCCTATTTCTCTCTCACTCTATCTCCATTATTCTTATACAATTATATGAAATTATCACATCAACCCAATTTTTCATTAAGTTGTTTACATAAATCAAATAATTTCACTATTTAGTATCACGAATTAGGTTAATTTATAATTACACAAAAGAGTTCACCATTATACGAAATTTGGTGTACATAATTAATATAACCATGTTGTCATACTAAATTGTGCAAATCTTAGATTTACGTAAACAACTAAATAACAAATTAGGTTGGTATCATAATTTTGTGCATTTGTTAGTTGTCACTGTTTGATTTAATAGAACACATGAGTAACTATTTGGTGTATTATAGAATAATTATAACTGATTGGTGTAACTGATTAGTATAATTGTGTTGTTGTAATGTTGATATAAAGAAAGAGAGAAAACAAGGAGAGAGAGTAATGGTGAGAGAAAATAGGAGGGAGACAGAGAGAGAAAATAAGGAGTAGAGAGATGAAAAAATTAAATCAAATCTTTACATATTTAAAAAATAAATAAATTATCAATGAGAGATAGAGAGAAAATATGGGGGAGATAGAGAGAAAATAGGGAAGAGAGAGAGTCAAAGAATAAAAATTATGCATAATTTAATAAAGGGTAAATAAGTAAAAAAATTCAAATGTCATTTGAATATTGTACTTAATCACAAGATGTTTTATTAAAATTGAATTTAATAGAGTAAAATACTTATCAATATACATCCTCCTAAATAAGTCTAAAAAGATGTACTCACACCTAGAAAACCCTTGATTTATTATATTTTAGTAATCAGAATGTTAACAAAAAAAATTGATTTTGAATTTCTTCCCAACTGATTAAAGTAAAATTATTTGTTAAACATAGAAAAGACAGAGGCTAATGGACAAGGAATATAAAAACAAAAATGAAAAAAAAAAGGCTAATTAAAAATTTTTAAAAAGTAAAGTTAATTATAAACATTTACAATTGATATGGATGAGTTTTCATATTTTGTAACAATTGCCTAAGAAATTCATTATTTATAGAAATGCAGATTGTTCCAAGATCCATTGGCCCATGATTTTTGTGGTTATGTGCAGAAAAAGAGTGCTTGGAGCTCACCCTGAAACATGGAGAGAGAGATGCAGTCAGAGAAGAATATGGCTCAAAATTGTGAGGATGAGCATAAAGAGATTAACAAGGAGGAGGTGAAGAAGAAGAAGAAACAACTTGGAGGAATCAAAACAATGCCGTTCATTCTTGGTGAGTTTGCACTTCCATGTTTTTCCCACCTTACTCATTCGTTTTGTTTTGGTGGGTCACATATGATGATGACAAACACCTGCATGCTTAAACCTCAAGTTGTAAACTACGGAACTATAACTTCAGAGAATTTTCCTGTCAAAGCCTTGTCTGCTTAATTGTCGCTCCGTTTTCCAATTAGAGTCTGTTGCAATTTTAGTTTTCTTATATTTATTTTTCTAAGAAAAAATCGTCCTTCCCTGTCGCGTGTCTTTTGGACTAATGAATGGTCGTAATATAAATCTTTTTTTTTAAGGGATATAGGCAAAGGAGAGCGCTCAGAGACCACCACGATAGACTCTGACTGGTGGGATGATGAGGTCCCTGATCGCGTTCGTTACACTTCTCGGGAACGAACCTAACTAAAATACCATAGCGGTCGACCACCAAATCTCAATACGGACTTCAAAATTCAAACTCTAACTTCAGAGTGAAAAATTGGGCCGATATCCCAATAGATTACCCCACTTGATGTCACAATATAAATCTCATATGTATATAATTACTCATAAATCACGTGAATCGAATTCTTAGAGCGTTTATTTTTTTGCTCTCTTCTTCTTGTTCAACTGTTGAACCAATCCGTGGTGTCTAGCGTCCCATCAACATGCTTTTTGTGTCATTTAACTAATAATTCCGAAAGTGTTTTTACAGCACGTGCATATGTTGAAAACATCAGCCTTTGCCTTTAAAGAAACAAAACTTTCATGAGTATTAGTCTTAATTTCACTAGTTTTCAGCTAAAAAGGTGGAAGAGCCAATGTCTTAAAGAGTTGCATCGGCCGGTTAAAGATGATATTTTTATTTATTTGTTTGTTTTATTTAAAGATGACAAACTGTGTAATAAACTTCTGTTTCAGGAAGGAAAGGAAAAAGACTCACATCATTGTTTAACACATAGACTTGTATCTTCTAAAGTTTTGAATCTCATAAATTTTACTAAGTTTCTCACTGAATTTTGGTTATGACCCGTGTTAGTGTGTATTGAATCCCCTAATAGAAGTTTATATTGGGAATTTTAGATATATATGTAGGAATAATGAACCCAAATGACAATTGCTTAGCGCCAATGTGGATTGTCACAATCTCCCATCTTTTATTCTCTTACGCCCCTATGAGAGACCCACAATCAATCACAAATACTACAATCGGCTCGTGGTCAGCCCCAGTGAACATTGAACCCACAATATAGTGCCTCTAAATCCATACACGCTTGTGCACTAGTTGGCTCTGATACCATATATAATAACTACAGGAACTCATCCAAAAGGACTAACCAATAAGTTTTTTTGGGTTCATTATTGCTACATATATACCCAAGATTCATGTGTAAGCTTATGTGGGATTCAATACATGCGAAAAATAAAATATAGAATTCAACAAATTTAACAGCATATGATTCGAATTTGTTGAAATGGACAGAATTTGTAAGGCACATGAAACACCCACATTGTTTCTGACTACATTTTTGAGGTGTCGTCAACAACTGTTTCGTAACAGCTTGGTGAATAACGTTACTTCATAAGGTTGTGGTTTTGGAAGTAACTTCAAAAGCTAACAGCTATTCCAAAATACATATGAAAGGTGGCATCCAAATTTTTTACACTTTAAGTTAAATTTTTCATTTTTAAAGTCAAAGTCTAGTGTGTCCAGTCAATTTCCAACTAAAGTCTATTGCTACTTTAGCTTCCTTATTTTTCAGTTTTTGCAAGGGAAAATCATCTCTATTATGTGTCTTTTGAACTAAAAAATAGTGGTAATGCATATCTCAGCAGAATACGATTACTTGTAAATCTTGTGCATGAGTTGAACTCAAATTTTGCAAAGCAAGGAAGACTCGAACTTAAAACATGCGTTTTGCACTCCCCCCTTTGTTCAACCATTTAACCAGTCCATGCTATTTGGCTTTCTTATCAACATGCTTATTAGCGAGCATTTCCATTTTGTTTGACTAATGATTTTGGGAGTGTTTCAATAGTAGGTGCTTATTTTCAGAACACCAGCTTTAAAACCAACAAAACTTTCAAGAAACTGAATCTTAATTTAAATAAAAGCAATGATATGTGCACTAAAACTTGCACTAAATCACTAATCTAAAGACTGCAGTTGATTTGGTGAAAATTTTAGTATACAAATTTGGTGCATAAAAAATTACCCTTTAAATAAAAGGAAAAAGGGGTAAAAATAGCATATAGTTAATATCTTTTTGCTTTAATTTATCACATTTTCTAATGTTTGTAATTCTTTCACATAAGTTTATCTAGTTTTAAGTTTTAGTGAATTTATCATCTTTTTGGGATAAGCTTATCAACTTTTATGGTTAAACAAGACCTTTTTAGTTTTAGTTATTTTTTTTTTATCATACCACCTTTTTAGTTCACTTAAAATAATTTTGTAAAAAATTTTACCACTTTTTTTAGGCATACTTTCCACTTTTTGGAATTTTCTATTTAACAACTTTCCATAGGATACAAAAAGAGTGACAAGAGGGTACCATAGTGTTCTCCACTTTATAATACATCTTCTCAAAAGAATATTAGTGGGACCCAAAAACTTAATATAAAATTTAACAAATTTAATATAAATTATTCAATTTTATTCAAATGGACAAAATTTAAAAGGCACATGGTGCTCCCACGTTTTATGTGGCGAAAACGAATGCTTTGGCAGTAAATGAGGAGATCTTTTGTATTTCTCCATTTGCTCATTTTCATGGTACCAATAATTGTTTCTCTGCAGCTTTGTGATCATAAGTTTGTGGTTTTGAGAACAACTTCCAAAAGCTAACAGCCATTTTAAAATACATAAGATGACCTGCAAAATTTATTTTACAACCTTTCAGCTGTAAAATTTTCTTTTAAATTCAATCTTTTAACTCAAGATATGATGAGTCTACATGTAATTCTTTATATGGGGAACTCCCATAAATATCCAGCCATATGTTTGGAGTTGTAAAATAAAAGATGGCATTTACAACATGATTTAGAGGTTTTAGGGTTAACTTATTTAAAAATAATGTTGTTAATCCAAACTTATTCTTTTTTAAAAAAAAAAAATCCTAGGCGGATTAAAACCCACAACAGCATGCGGGGGAGGGTAACCCTTTTAGAGATTGCGTGAAACACCTAGATTAGGCATATGATGGTGTGGAAACGTACAAAAATAAGAATACTAGTAACACACATGAATGACTATTATTTTCAATAGCCCTTCACGTGTGAATTGTATGTCATTTTTATACTCAAATTTTCAATTATGTCAATTTATTCCTTCAAATTGAGTTTGTGCGCTCTTGGTAGAATCGAAAATGAAGGTTAAAAGTAACTAGCAGAAGTGGTCACACAGCCTCACGGAACCACACTTAAGGAATGAATTGGTTCCTGTTATGACATGTAAATGAATTAAAGAATGTTATTGTCTAGGAAGTGTGAATAAACGAGCAAATAAAGACTGATGGACTAATGATTTTGTTATTTACTTGTGACAGCGAACGAAATGTGTGACAGATTTGCAGCCACCGGGTCTCATGCTAACATGATTACTTATCTGACCCAAAAGCTCAACATGCCACTGGTGAAGGCATCCAACACTCTTTCGAACTTTGGTGGCCTTTCCAGTTTCACGCCGCTGGCCGGGGCACTGATTGCGGACTCCTTTGCCGGTCGATTTTGGACTATCATTGTGGGTTCCATCATTTATGAACTGGTGATCTCTCTCTCCGTTAATTTTTCATGTGTGTGTATGTGCTTTTTTTTTTTTTTTTGTTGTTGTTGAGAAGAACAAAGCAGGGTGGAGCTTGAGCGTAAAATGGAAAAACTCATATTTAAGACAACGGCAAACAACATTTGGCTAACCTCGACTCAAATTTGAGCAGAATCTGCCAAGCCAAGCTCGAACACCCTTGCACTCAGCTCAATCAGCTCGTTTACAACCCTAAATATTAAATTTTCCTGTACAAATAATGTGTTCTTGCTCTTGTAATTCTTAATGGATATACCTTTGCCTACCTCATTAGCTAGGCTTTTACTAATGAGACCTCTTTCGAGGCTTGAACCTCGTACATTCTTCAAGTCGAGGAGAAAGATTACTTCATCAAGGTAGCGAGATTATGAAAGTGGAGGGTTCATGTTTAGATAAAGGCAAGCATCAATAAGAGTAACATGCATGCTAAGTTAGGAAAGAGAAGTACAATTTCTTATGATTGAACTCACACCCCCCCGTTCAAAAAAAAAAAAAAAAACAGTTACACCTGAGTTTTTTATAAATATGAACACCACAAATAACATCATATGAAGTATAACAACCTTTAATCTGGGCTACTACTTCATCTACCCTCATGCTTAACGATATTAACTTTATTTGCTTGTTGACTTTAAAAACTATACACCCTGATTTCTAATCTCACAAAAGGTTTGAATAAGAGCATGATCGTAATTTTTGTTTAAACATTCCTCTGATAATAAGTGTTATCAGCAGGGGCGAAGCCACGTTGAAGCCAGTGGAGGTACTTGCGCCCCCACCCACCAAATCCCCAACTTTTAAGAATTACTCAATATATATTCTTCAAATACCCATGATTTTTCTCAATTGAACTCATTGACACTTCAAATTTTTTAAAAAATATTTTTTGATTGTGCTGAACAAATATGAAATGCCATGACTCATTTATATTGATAAGAAATAATACATCTTTTTTATTTGATACATTGCACCTATTTTGAACCAAAAAAATTATAAAGTTGCCCCTAACTTTTTTCAATACGTTAAAAAGGTTAGAAGAGAAAGAACAAGATGTATTTATCTAAAGTTCTGTTTTCTGTTATTCAAAGAATTAATTTCTCTACTCTCCAAATGAGAAAATAATTAATTTCTCAATAGGATGGAAGATGGTCTTGAGGTTGTAACAAAATGAGTAATGATTTTATCACAATTATTTATATTCATCAAAAGGAAATTCTTAAGAAATTAATCATACAATTAATTATTGACAATTCTTGATATTTAAAAAAACTTTGTGCTTTGCTTTAATCTATTACCGAAATAGTCTTATGACCCATATAAAAATTAATCATGTATCTTCCGATATTTCTCATAATTAAACTTGACTCTTTTCTATTAGCTGAATTTTTTGTATTTATGTTTGCCCCCTCTAAACTATAATTCTTGCTCCACCCCTGGGTATTAGCACTCTTAATAATTAGAAACAACAATAGGGAAATACTTTTGTAGGTAAATATTAACTTAGAAAGGTTAAAGTAAGTAGTCCATTATAGGACTATACATGCAGATGATATTTATAAACTAGCCATAATTCGTAGTTAAAGACACAATGTAACATAAAATCCAAGTGCCCACCATATGAAATAACATTTTTTTTTGTTTTTTCTTTTATTTAATTACAAAATTTGAAATTATTTTATACCCATAATTTTTTTAAAAACATTGATAATTTTTTTTCAAAATACATGATCTCGAAAAAATATCAATGGGCGATGTGATAGAAATAGGGAGGAGAAGAAAACTATATGAATAAGATTCAAACTATATGAATAAGATTCAAACTATAGCTCCCTTAAAATATATATATATATATATATATATATATATGGGTCCGATTATGATACCAAAAATAATTTTTAACTGTTTAGTTTGGTTTAAGTTATTCTAGTAATTGATTCTAGAAATAATAAAATAAATAATAAACAATAAAATAAGATGGGTTTTACATGGGTCATGCCCTCGAAGAAAAAGAGGAAGTATTGTACTAGAGAGCGCTTTTTCAAAGTCGTAATACTATTATATATTTTATGATCAATGCTATATAAACTTAAAAAATATACTTAATAATTATAATTACTGAATAAATAGTAGATTTTAATAAATATTTAGGTCCACAGTGAAATTAATTATTGTAATTATCAAGTATACATTTTAAGTTCATATAGCATTACTCTTACTTATATTTTATACAATAAGATAGTTAGAACTTTAAATTTTATTTTTACTTATTTTTTTCTCATTTATATAACATCACCTAGTATGTATACCTGACATAGTTTTTGTGCGGATATTTTATGCGAACTGTAAATGTCAAAGTACAAGAAGCAAAAAAGAAAACTATCAATATCAATCAACGGAAGTCTTGATTAAATTGTGTAATGCTAAACATGTGTCACAGGGACTAGTGAGCATCGTGGTATCAGCAGTTCTGCCACAGCTACGCCCGCTACCATGCCCCACTCAAGAAAACTGCGAAGAAGCTTCATCCCTACAATTATGGCCTCTTTACATCTCTCTCATCTTAACAGCTCTCGGGACAGGTGGCCTTCGGCCTTGTCTCGTTACTTTTGCTGCCGATCAGTTTGACATGTCCAAATCAGGCATAGAGTCTCGGAGCTGGAATTTTTTCAATTGGCACTATTTTTGCATGGCAATGGCCACACTAACTGCTTTAACTGTTGTTGTTTATATCCAAGACAATGTGAGTTGGGTTTGGGGTTACGGAATTCCAGCTGTTGCCATGGGGATATCAATTATATTTTTCCTTATCGGTTCTCCTCTTTATAAGAAAGTCAAACCAGGAGGGAGTCCACTAGTCAGAGTGGCTCAGGTAATTGTTGCAGCAGTGAGGAAGAATAAAATAGTTGCACCAGCAGACTCTGGTCTCCTTTACGAGAATACAGAACTTGATGCTTCTATTTCATCCAACGGAAGGCTTCTACATACAGATGAATTCAAGTAAGATATATTAATACCAAAACTTAAGTATTCTTTCATAAATTTGGAAATAGTGCTGCAAGTAGTTTGATTTAAAAGTACCAAGGTATACACTTATTGACGACTTTTATTGCCATAGCTTGCTAGAATAACTTGCAATAGCATTGTCCAACTATCTTCTCCATGAGGAGAAAGAAGACAGATTTTGAGCATTTAATTTTTGATGGCATTCCGTTTAAAGTAATTAGAAGATGTTAAACACAAATATATTATGAAAGCTCATTTGGAAGTCATTTTTCCTCCATAGTTGCACCTCAGCTCACCCAAAGATTTCTCGAAGAATCCAGTATTATAAATCTATATAGCCTTGTAGACTTAGGAGGCAATGTATGTGACTGATTGAATTGTTGTTGATGTTTGAAGGTGGCTTGATCGAGCTGCAGTAGTAACCGATGAGGATAAAAAAGATTCAACCTCACCAAATTTATGGAGGCTAGCCACTGTCCATCGAGTTGAAGAACTAAAGTCCATTATAAGGGTGTTGCCCATCTCGGCAGCTGGAATACTAGTAGCCGCATCACAAGCACACGGCTTTGTCATCCCACAAGCCCGCACCATGGATCGTCATATATCCCACTCCTTTCAAATCCCACCAGCTAGTTTGTCCATCTTTGGTGTCATTACTGTGTTAGTAGGTGTTGTTTTGTATGAACGCCTTTTTGTTCCTTTTGCTCGTCGGTTCACTGGAAATCCCGTGGGCATTACATGCTTGCAAAGAATGGGCATAGGCTTCGCGGTGAATATTGTTGCTACTATTGTTGCAGCACTGGTTGAGATCAAGCGGAAAGAAGTGGCGGCAAAGCACAACTTACTGGACAAGCCAACTCCCGCTACACCCATAAGTGTCTTTTGGTTGGTTCCTCAATTTTGCATCCATGGGGTATCTGAAGTTTTTCTGTCTATTGGGCATATAGAATTCCTCTATGATCAATCTCCAGAAAGTATGCGAAGCACAGCGATTGCACTTTACTCTTTGGTAACATCGATAGGACATTATACAGGTACCTTTTTGGTATCCTCAGTTCACAAATACACTGGCAAGGAAAGAAATTGGCTACCTGATAGGAACCTCAATAGGGGAAGACTGGAAAATTTCTACTGGCTTTCCAGTGGAATACAATTTATAAATCTCATTTATTATGTGCTATGTGCGTGGTGGTATACTTATAAGCCTTTAGAAGTTGTAAACGATAACATGGAAGGAGATGTTGAGTTAGCTGCAGGAGAAGTTCTCTCAAAGCCACTATATGATTGCAAAGGCAATGGGGACATTGAGCATGCAAGAGATGAAACACATTAGGATTGTTTGTCGTTGTAGTTACTTCTCATGTACCATATAGAAATTTATTTGATGTATCTTTTTCAGTATATAAGTGCAACGGGTGAGCAATTACCTTCTTTTTGAATATACATAGGGCTGAGGATAACAATTTCTTTATACATTATGGGACAGTTCACAACCAACTAAAAGCTCATGTTAATAAGATAGCTTTGGAAATTCCCTTGGAAATCATTGAAACTGCTTGACTCTTCATAGACGATAAGTTGTAACCTGCAGTATTTATAGGAGATAGACAAAGGGGATCTGAGAATTTTTATGCTTGATGATACTCAAAATATGCCTAAGGTTCAGCTCGAGAACTCAACTCAAACCATCCCAGCTCAGGGCACTCAGGTCATCATGGATGGCTAGAGAATTAGAGGTCAGTGTCTCCTCCCTAGCAACTGAACATCCACAGGAGTAGCATAGAAGACAGCTGGCTTCTACCCACACACCACACATAATGTAATGGTCTTGCATTTAAGCAAAAAAGTCGTAACCATCTCAACGATGTCCATGGCAAGCGCATAAAAGGCATTGTTATTACGAGAAGAAGGCTAAGATCATGCTCAGGGGTCATGTAAGACCTCTGAAGACTATAAATAAGAGGCATATCTCTCACAACAGAAAACAAGCAACTAACCTAAGCAAATACCCTGCGTAATCTTCCCATCTTTATCAATATAATCACCCCAAGTGCAAGAGACTCCTTGCAGAGTGGATTAGCCGAGCTCCCAAGATGGTAAATCACTATAAACTCTCTATGTGCAAATTCTCATTTCCCTTTATTCAATTCTTAATAGCATAGGAGCTTTGACTGAGCTATTCAGTGATCTACTAGTCCCTAAGCTTTGTTCATTTGTGTGACATACACTTTCAGTTGGCGTTGTCTATGGGAATGACTGTTGCTGTAAAAATTCTACTGATATCTTCAATAATTGATGGTTTCTATGTGCAACATGAGCAGAAGCCAGATGAACCCTATGCGTTTACAGAACCAACAAGAGTTTGTCATAGGAAGACAGCAGAAAAATTTGCCTAATCCAGAAGTTGATCCTCTAATGGCAAATAGTCTTCCAAACAATGAACTCATGGCCCTTCTACAAGCCAATCAGCTTCTCCTTTAGCAAAACGAGGAACTGCTAAACCTCATCCAAGCCTAGCGACCACAGAAGGCACAGCCAGCCCAAGATGATCCCCCATGGGAAGAAAATCAATGACGAAATCCTTTGAAGACTGAGGAAAATAAGCACAACAATCATTTGACAACATATATTGTCAAACTCAAAAAAATGGAGAGGACGAGGAAGTGCAAAGCCACAACATGGGGACTCACAAGAACAAGCTTCCCCATTCCAGCAGGAAAGAAATGAGCAGTTTTGGGAGGAGTGTTTTAGGGAGTTTCAGGAAGAGCTTAACCATATGAAGCAGGCTGTAAGAAGCAAAACTCCAGTGACTATAGATGCCCTGGTCCAGTAGATAGAGTCTCCCTTCACCTTAGAGGTGCTACATTTTTCCCTTTTACCAATGTTCAAAATGTCTCAAATGGAGACCTTTGACAGAATGAAGGATCCTATGGACCATCTCAACACCTATAAAAATCAGTTGGAGTTACATGGGTACCAAGACCCAGTGTGGTGCTGAGCTTTTGCTATTACCTTGAAGGACTTAGCCTTAGCCTGGTTTAATAGACTGACCCTAGCATCCATTTCCTTCTTCAGGGAGCTCTCTATCTCATTCGTCTAGCACTTCATAAGAGCTCAGACCTACCGAAAGCCGAGTTATCACTTACTAAATGTGAAATAGGGGCCAAATGAGACACTACGAAGCTATGTTCAAAGGTTCAACTCAGAATCTCTAAAAGTAGACATCTTTGATGAGAAATTTTCCCTCACTACCTTCATTGTCGGGCTGGGAGTCCAGTCAAAGGAGAGGAATCAAGAAAGGTCTCCACGAAAGAGATCGCTCCCCAAATAGGAGAGGAGACATTAGAGATCGTCTGAGTCCTCCACCTCAGGAGTTGCAACCAAGGTATGCCCTAAAGGAAATCCACTCCCCTCAATGCCACGGTGTCACAGTTTCTCTATGAGGTGCAGAATAAAAAGTTCTTGAGGTAGCCACCTCGGATGAAGGCTGACCTTACAAAGCAGGACATGACAAAGTACTATGAGTATCACCGGGACCATGGCCACCTCACCAATGATTACATTCAACTGAAGAAAGAGATCGAGTTCTTAATTCAGAGGGGGCAGTTGTCTCGCTTTGTGGCCCAAGATAATAAAACATGAGCTTATCCACCTCCTGTACCACAGTTGTAGGCTCTTCCAGAACACCAGTAGCTCATGCGCGAGATTAGGGTAATATCTGAAGGATTTACTGGAGGTGGGGAAACCAACTTAGCTAGGAAGGCCCAGATGTGGAAAGTCCGAGCCAAAGACATATTGGAGATACAATTTGTGTCCAAGGCACCTTGACTGAATATGGACATAACATTTTCGGATGTGGATCTGGAACGATGCTAGTATCCCCATGACGATCCCTGTGTGGTAAGAGTCATCATTGCCAATAAAACCAACCATTGAGTTCTTATTGAAATTGGAAGCTTTGTCGACATCATCTTTATCTCTACCTTTGACAAAATGGACACCGACAGAGACAAGCTTGAGCCAAGGAGAACTCATCTGCTTGGATTCTCAGGGGAAAAAGGTGATTCCCCTAGGCTTAATCCAACTCATCCTCACAATGGGAAACCCTCCCTACAAGTTGACCATTACCATAAGATTTTTGATAGTCGATGCCCTATCAGCATACAACTTTCTCATGGGGAGGTCTTCTCTCAATACCATGAGAGTCATTCCTTCTGCTTTATCACCTTGTAATGAAGTTTCCAACTGAAATGGCATTGGGGTGGTCTAAGGAGACTAACACGTTGCAAAGGAATGCTACATGGCATCCATGAAGAGAAAAGACGTCGAGACCATACAGTTAGATGAGTTTTACATGTGAGACGAGCAATAGACAAAGCTTGCCCCCTCAGAATAGCTGGAGCCAATCCAACTTTACGAGTACCTAGGACATTTGATTTATGTGGGGTCAAAGCTGCCAAAGGGGATCAAGGACCCCTTTATTCAATTTTTAAGGAAGAACATGGAGGTGTTCGCACGGAAACATGAGGATATGCAAGGGATTAAACCCTCTATCATCACGCACAAACTTAGCGTGAATCTGACCTTCAAGACCATTAAGCAGAAGCGAAGAAGCTTTGCCCCAGAATGCCGAAAATTTATAATTGAAGAGGACTCCAAGCTCCTCCATGCCAAGGCCATAAAAGAGGTAGATTATCCAACCTGGCTGGCCAATATGGTCTTTGTAAAAAAGACCAACGGCAAATGGTGCCTCTACATTGACTTTACTGATCTGAATCGTGCTTGCCCAAATGACAGCTTTCCTCTACCTCTTATTGATTTGATCATGGATGCCACAGTAGGGCATGAACAATTCAGTTTCATAGATGCTTTCTCAGGATATAATCAGATCAAAATGGATCCTAATGACCAAGAGAAGACATCCTTTTGTAACTGAGAAAGGGACATACTACAATCAATCCATGCCCTTTGAATTAAAAAATGATTCGTGAATCACATGTTCTAGAAGAGAATGAGAACATCCATGGAGGTTTTCATTGACGATATGTTAGTAAAGTCATTAAAGGGTGATATCCACATTCGGCACCTCAAAGAATCTTTTTAGATTCTTATAAAGTACCAAATGAAGCTCAACCTAGCCAAATGTGTCTTTGGGGTCTTGACAGGAAAATTTTTGAACTTTATAGTAAACAGTTGAGGTATTAAGGCTAATCCAGAAAGAGTCTGAGCTGTGATTGACATGCAACCGCCCTCAAACACAAGGGAGGTCCAATGTTTAACAAGACGAATATCAGCATTGAGTCAGTTTGTCTCCAGGTCGAGCGATAAATATCAACCTTTCTTCCATATTCTGAAAAAAGCCTTCCAATGGGATGCACAGTGTGAGGAGGCTTTCAAAGCTCTTAAGAATTATCTCAACTCACCATTATTTCTTGCAAGCCTCTGAGAAGAGGGGGTGCTCACCCTATACCTTACTGTCTCAGACTTTTTCACAAGCGCAGTCCTAGTAAGAGAACTAGACGAAGTTCAACAGCCAGTCTACTATTGCATCAGAGTTATGAGGGGAATAGATGAAAGATATCCAAAAATAGAAAAGCTAGTCCTGAATTTGGTAACAGTAGCAAGAAGGCTCAGACCTTATTTTCAAGATCACACAATAGAAGTCCCCACATATTAGCCAATGAAGTAGGTCTTGCACAAGCCAGAGTCGTCAGTGAGACTAGTCAAATGGACAATAGAGCTCAGCGAGTTCGACATCAGGTACAAGCCTAGAACTACTATCAAAGGACAGATATTGGCAAATTTGATTGTAGAATTCATGATAGGTCAATAAGAATACTTGGATGCTATCCAACTAGTCCTCAACCTCCCAACGTGGAAGCTTTCTATAGATGGTGTTTTCAATGCCCAAGGCAACGGTACTGGATTAATCCTGACCTCCTTAGATGGGATAGACAAAGAGTATGCCTTTATATTCAATTTCAAAGCTTCAAATAATGAGGCTGAGTACAAAGCTGTGATAGCTAGGCTCAATTTGGTCCATTCCATGGAAGCAGAGCAACTTGTGATTCACAGCGACTCCCAGTAGTTAGTGAAACAGATCGAGGAAGTATACGAGGCAAAGGGAGAAATAATGTCTCTATATTAGAAAAAGGTACAAGAACTAATGAAAAAATTTAGCAGCAGGTTAAGGTCATGCATGAGGAGGTTTTCCCTGTTTAGATTGCCAGTGAATTTCAAAGAAGCAGCAAAGCTAAGAGTCAGGTCACCCAGATTCACTATCCTCTAGGGGAACCTATACAAACAGGGCTTCTCATCACCACTCCTGAAATGTGTTAGAGATGAGGAAGCAAATTACATTGTAATAGAGGTCCATGAAGGAATATATGGAAACCACATTGGAGCTCAAACTCTAGCTGGTAAATCTCTAAGGCAGGGGTACTTTTTGCCCACGAT